AAGTTGCTTTGGTCTGCTTTCTGTCACTTTATGTGAGATGAACTTCCCAGTGTTACTGTCCAGCTCTTCCTGAATTTCTATGCATCAGCTTTTCCACAACCCACCAGAAAGGATAGCATAGCTGCACACAAGCATATCTCTAAGACAGCTACAAAGTTAAATGTGTCACAACTGTGTCTTCATTGGTGCATGGTTTTGAGGACACTATTACCCTTAAATTGTTAAAAAGTAAGCATCAAGTAATCAAAAACCAAAAAATGCTATTTACATTGCTTTTATTTCGACTTTCAAATGTATACCAACTGCTAGCTAACTAATTAACTAGCATGCTCATGTTGTTTTTTTATACTTACAGAGGTAGTTAATATCTAAAAACAGCTCCCATTCTATTCACCAAGCAAGGATTCTTTTGGTAATTAAACAAGTTTATCTATTATTTGTCTTTTTCCAGATTAAATAGTTGCTGTTTCCCATTCTTCCATCTTCCATACCAGCACAGGGTCCAAGTGAATGGGGAACAGGGAAGCAGGAGTGGGAGAAGAAGCATCGGGGAATAAGGGTCTTTAATAGGCACACGGAGAGGGATACGAGGGAAGACCATTACAACAATACAATGACAGGACTATGGAAACATACTCTGACGTTGACTTAAATAGACTGAACTAATGAAAACAACTCGAAACAGCTGGTAAACACGGAGAATCCACACGAGGTTAACGAGGGGGGCGTGGCACACAGGAGAATTGGATGAGCAGGGTGTGACACCGGGGGCACAGGGCACAAAGCAGGAGAACACCTTGGATGGGATGTCAGTTCATTGCAGACCATACTGACTGTTCTTTTTATGCAGAACAGATTAAAACTTCTGAAGAATCAAAAGTAAAGGAGCACACATTCAAAAGCCAAAGACTCTAACCTTGTATAAGACGAAAAAATGGAATCGAAACACTTATGGGAGTTTTACTTGCACAAAAATGTTCTGAGGGCAGAAGGACAAATGATTGGTTCAGAGACATAGCCAATCAGACTGTAGAGGAGGTGGGTCCAAGCAACTAGAGGAGGCAGGACCATCCAATCAGATGTCTTGATCCTGCCTCCTCTAGACCCACTCCTCGACAATCTGGTTATCTCTCTGAACCCATAATTTTTCCTTCTGCCCTCAGGACATTTTTGTGTAAGTAAAACTCCCACGAGCAATGGAAACAGAGTAAAAATCCATAAGCTTTCTTAAAAGGGGACTGCTGATATTGAATTACCACAGTGTTAACAGGTCCCGTTTGGGTGTGTGTACCAAGAATTATGAACATGTTTATTTAGGACTGGGATCCTCATTTACAGAATTTTTTATTTAAACCAAACATGCCGCAGACAAACCAGTTCCTTATGTATCAATGTATCAGTTCCTTATGTATCAAGTTATGTATCAATTAAGTATTGAGGCAATATCTTGGCTGAAAATTACTCACAGAACATGCTTATGCAATCACACTTTATGACTCTGCTCAGTAAATGTTTTACATATCACAATTTTTTTTCAACAGATGCTTTTGTCCAAAGCAACATATAATTTAGGAATTGAGCACAGCATCAGGAACCTCCCTGGAGCCACTGGGGTTCAGGGCTTTGCTCAACAACGGTTTCACTCGGCTAGCCACGGGATTTGAAACAGCAACCTTCAGATAATGGGCACAAAATCCTAACCCACAGGGCCACAAGCCACCCCTTAGTACTACTCCGACTCCTGACGCATTGTAAATTCTCTTAAAGCTGGTGCCACATTTAACAACTTCACATTCATGTTACCTGTCAACCTGATCTGGGTAAATGCACAACACATCTCCCCGCCCAAGCAAACCTGAAAGCAGAAAGCATCCAGTTAGCGAGCAAAGGCTCGCCGGCATGGGGAGCGAGGCTGCAAGTCAGACAAGAGCAAGACGGCGACCATTGAGGTGGCTGTGGGTAAACATCACCCGCTAATGAGCTATTCCTCTTAGTGGCAAGGAAGTTTCCGAAAGACAAGCTCAAGGGATAGCAATGCCATTAGCAAGCTTTAAGCTCTTAATGCAGCTGTCGTCTTTTTCAGATGCAAAGAATTCAGACTGTTTTTATTGCTACCTCCATAATATTTTAATGGAAGCAAGTTCAGTTCCGGTCCTGTATGAAAATGTCCATAATTTCATCACAACCACTTTTAAAGACATCTCACATTCTGAGGTTATGTACGTGTTTCCATGATTTGCTTCTCTTCTATTTTCTTAACATAACTAATTTTAATACTTTAATTAGAAAAAAAATAATATTTCTGCTGTTTTTAATTATTTGATTACTTGATTATTTGAGACTTGTTGATGGCACTCAAATTTTGAAAGTGCTCTTTTTCATTTCAATAGTTCGCAAACTACTTACTGGTGCTTTGATTACTATATGCAAGTATTGTAGTTTTCAGCGCAAAAGTCAAGTCTGCCTTGAATCTAAGACTCTGAATCAGAATCAATGATTACTGAGTCACTTGTTTTCATATTCTAGTTCAGGTTAAAATTGACATACAGAAACAGCATTTCCATTCAATGTCTAATCTACCAACTAGTAAAAATTCAGTTTGTTTTGCATGTCCTTCTTTTTATAGAAACACGTTGCTTCATTTTTCATACATCATTGCGTAACTGAAGTAGATGGTTTGTGTTGTCAACCATGAAGAAAGGCAGTCGTTTCTGACAATGGTCTTTCCATTTCAGGTCTGTGAATCGTTGTCTAGCGGCTACAATACAGCCGAACTAATGATATTAAGTTTTCAGTCTGCAACCGTTTTCATTCGATTTCATGGTTTATGAACCATCCCAAAGACCTGAAACATATATAGTCAGCTCATGACGCTAATCGTTAATTATTAAATTTGTTTTGTGTTTCGTTAGGAAACGATATAGGCCTAGTTAACCTTTTGCTACAGATACTGACTATGGAACTAAACTTCACAGGCTCTTTCCCACGTATTAAAAAAACACGAGTTATAAATTACACTGAGGAATAAATAATTTTAATGTACAAGAGTCCCTTCTGCATAAGCGTGCATATTCGAGTCTCCTCTGCATCGGATACACTACGCTTTGATTTTTTAAAAATAAAAGGTCTGTATTTTTATAATTGGTCTACATTTTTATAATTGGTCTACATTTTTTCGACTTTCAAAGTACTGTTTGTATTGTATTAAATTATCTACTGTCATTTACTTTAAACTGTAAGCCATCTTTCTGGCTGTATTTTTTCAGTGCTATGTGTACAGCTAGGATTCAATCCAATTATTTTTTGACTTATCATTATGTTATGTGATACTTCGGCAGTGTTTTTATAGTGCATTTATGTCAGACGTGCACACGTTTTCCTAGCACTGAAATATGCGTGTGCGGCTTACTGACTTAATTTTGGTAGTATACGTCCTGACCGCAGTATTCCTGTAGGGGGCGTAGTTCTCAGCGACGTACAAACGTGTAATTCATACATTTCATAGATATGACACGTTTTAGGGAGCATCAGGAAGATGCAGCGACCGATGTTATGGTTCACTGGGCGGTCCATTTCTGATAATGATCCATCGCTAGTTGGACTCACCCAAGATACTGATTGAATTTTGGCTTATGCCCCATTTGCAATCAAACACATTAGTTATGCACGTTATTATGATCAAGAGAGCAATAAGCTGCAAAGTAAAAAGACCAAACTAATTATTATAATTGCAATAGCAGCTGACACGTATGGTCAATGTTTCTTTTTCGTTTGTTGCTTTCTTTGAATAATCATATTTTTCTGATGCTGGATGAAAGTACAGCTGAGAAATAATGATGACGTACGTGTGTGTGTGTGTGTGTGTGTGTGTGTGTGTGTGTGGGTGTTTAGCTTGTTTGTGCAGGGGGCGTGGTACCGTTATTTAAACTCCCAAATTATTTTGAACACACGCACACAAAAAAAGATCGCAAGACTGGATTTTTAATTACCCGCACGTCATTTTCAACTCATATAACTTCAGACACGGGACCGAGGCACAGAAATAACAGAATATAAAAGAAATTAACTTCCCACCACAAATAAGCATAAAAATTGGACAGGTTAATAAAACTCAAGTTTACAATCCAGAAGTCCAATTTATTTTGTACAATAAAAAAAGAAGGAAACAAAGCTATCTAGCAGCCCACAAATAATATACCAAGCAGCAAAAACGCATAAGGTTACTAACAATAACTACTTGCGTAAATAAACGCTATAATAATAAAATAAAACTATCGGGTTGAGCTTTGATGTTGACGTTGCACACAGTACAGAGTCTTATGAAGCGCAAGTCTGCAATCCAGGACGCCAACTTGACTGTCATCGTACGGGCTGTCAAGCTACCTATTTGTCTTTCTGCCATTTATTGATTTAAATGTTGAGATGAAATGTCCTGCAGACCTAAGGAGAAGGCAACACAGGCGTAACCCTCGGCGAATCAGCCTTACTCTTACTGTCAAGTTTTCAAGGCACGTTTAACTCGTCCCAGCAATTAAAAAATTAAAATATTCAGTAACACTGATCCAAAGAAATGCAGACGAGATTAATAATGTCATTGGCGATATAATGGTACATAATGAATACCACCCATCAAGAGAAAAAGAAATACAGTTAGGTAATGGAAAGACATATATCCGCAGACGTATGCAATTAAGATATGAAAAACATCACTTATAAATTGAAAACGCGATAGCTTATTACTGTACTTCCCAAAACACTGATAGTTTTGGGTCCTGATGGTCTTGGCAAACACCCAGCAGCAAATAAAAACGGACATCGGCGTAACTCAAATACAAACACCGCCGCTAAGAACCAAAAAGTCATTTTCTTAAAAGAAAAAATATAAATGTTCGTAGTTACGTATGAGTAGTGAGACAATTAATGCAAAAACTAATTCAAAATAAAAACAAAAAGAAGAAAAAGACAAAGAAGAAAATTATAGGAAGAGGAAAATTACTCACCAAGCAAAATTTCAGAGAAAATAAAAATGCTGAAAGACCAATAAGATAGGAGTATAACGAGCAGAACACAGACGCTCCAGCGATGCAGAAGTCAGACTGACTCGGCTGATACGCACAAGCCCACTATGAGCGTGGAGCAAACCATTCTACCAAGAGTCGGGGGGAACCTTTCAGGAATTTACGCTCTTTTCTCTGGATGAACAAGTTCAGGCCCCGTAGTATAAGAAGGCTGGTAATTGGGGTGATTGTCTGATCGGAATCCTGTAAGAAAATTCATAACCCATATGCATTTTTGTGGGGTTAACAGAGGCTTTATCAGAGATTACACGCCTAGGGTAAATTATGTTTGCAATACCTGAGTGAAAAAGAAATGCAAGCTGGTGAACGTGTGAATTGTGTGAAAGAGTACCTTACATCTTTTGTGTGCTTTGTAAGTTCATTCGTTAGTTTCCTTGTATTGTCACTTTAAAATATTTTTTCGGTGTTTAGACGTGTATTGTATAGAAATCTTACCGTTAATACAAAGCTTCCTGTAAATTACCCCCAGCAGTTCAAACTAAATAATCTATCTGAAGCTAAGCATGTTTGGGCCTGTCCAGTTCTTGGATGGGAGACCAGCTAGGAAAGCTGGGTTGGTGTGGCCAACATATTAGCCCATCCTGTGGTCTGTGTGGATCCCAGTGCAGTGAGTGCACTGTGCTATAAAAAATGATGCTGCCCTTTGGATGAGATGTAAAATGAGTCCTGTCTGCTCTGCGGTCATAAAAGATCCCTGGGTATCCTTTGAAAGAGTAAGGGGGGGGGTACCCTGATGTCCTGGCTAAAACGGCTCACTGTGGCCCTATCAAATCAAGCCTACTAATAATCCCCTATATGTAATTGGTCAATTCTCTCCAGCCCCTTCACCACCTTAGCTACTGTGTGGTGAGCATATGGGTGCAGAATGGCTGCCATTGCACCATCCAGGTGGGGGCTACACAGCGGCTCCCCATTGGTTCTGTAAAGTGCAATATAAATGTAACATTAAGGCATCTGAGGGAGGGGATGGTGTTTGATGAGTCATTAACAGTTTTAGCAGTTTCACGATGCCTGCCATTTACAAACTAATAAAATGGTAAATATTTATCAAACAGTACATCAAAATATACCACTTTCAGTAAAATATCTGTTTTGGGCATTACAGTTGCTCAAAATATTATATGAGGTTGATTAAAAGGTTTTTTTGATACGACTTCAAAGCTTTAATATATTTTACTTTTTGTTTATTGGACTCTGTCATTTGTAAAAATAAAACGTAGCTCCGGTTTAAACCAGGACATGTTCAGAGTTGACAGTCCACTCAATCATAACTGTTTGATATCAAGCATAATGTAATGTAGAATGTCTGTGGTTTGATGGTGTCCTGACAGTATCCACACTTTGGTTTTCAAACCAAAGGCCAGATTCACTAAACTAATCTGCAATGCTTTTAAGTAAAGAAAGTCAGTTACATTATGCAGACTTCCCACTGACTTACAGATTACTGAATCCTGCTGATTTCAGAGCACCTAAAAAAAAGATATCCTATTAAAACAGAATTGCAGGAAAGGAAAAGAGATTATGCACTTAAAATTGCTATGTAGAGGAACTATCTGAAAATGAAATAGGGTCAGAATTACTTTATAGGGAATTAAGCTCAAGAAGTGAGATGAAATTTAATTAAAGGTACAAAAAACGATGGAGGAAATGAGGTTGGTTTGCAGGACTTTGTCATCTGAAGCTTCTAATCCATGTGGGAAACATCGGCATGACGGCTCTGTGGTACAGAAAGACATCCCCCACTATCAACTTGAAATCCTCATTCAAAACAAGACCTGCAATCACACATTTATTTACCGTAATGTGGGACCAGACAAAAAGTGCAGTTTTCATTTTAATCAACCACCTGTGGACTGCCTGTTAGGACTGAATGTCTCCTTGGCGCTGGAACAACAGGAAGGATCATTTACTGGCTAGTGGTGGAGTTGATGTGCTGCTTTTTACGAATGGCAGCCAGCCTGTGGGGAAAAAAAAAAACAACATGTGGACTGAATGCCCTCAAAAAGTAACCAATTTAAAGTACAATCTACTGTGCTTTTCTGTTTGGGTGCCATGCTCAATTTATATGCTTATTGCCTACAACAAAGTTATGTAAAAAATGTACACAGAACATTTGGAAGTGGCCTTAATCACTATTTAGAAGAACTACAAAATAGTATTTCACATAATAAGAAGCCATAAGGTTGTCTTAGTATTCCCATACTCATTTTAAATATAATTAAATAAATTGATATCCTGTCTGTGGCGTACCCTTGGTTTGTACCCCATACTGCCTCAGATAGGCTTCTGCCCCCCTCCCCGAACCATGACCAAGATATGCTGTTACAAGATGGTTGGATGGATGGATGGATAATGAAATATAACTAAATTGACTTGATAAGAGGCTGGAAGATTAATGGATTATTAATTATAAAAATACAATGAATAAAGACATTACCACTGTTATAGCACTGTTATACATGCTTCCTTGATTAGATAGATAACATCATATTGGGGTTTCAAATTGAAGGGATCATTCAATTTGTTAAGTTATTTCAAGTCTGGAAGCAGGAGTTTGCAAGGGAAATACATTTTGAAGGTGGTAGACAGAGATGCATGTAATGTGAGACAAGATCTAAGAGAAGATAAATATGCATCAGAATCTCAGTAGAGTTAGAAACATGGTTTGTAGATTTAAGATGCAGTTGAAAGATCGTGTCCTTCAAGCACATGACAGATGTAGATCCTCAATAATAGTGATCTCACACCCTAAGATCTCACCCAGCGAGGCTATAGACATCCTTGCCAGATGAGCGTGTCAAGTGTAGTTTCACCGTGCTTGAGTTGATATTCTATGAAGGCCAAGGAGATGCTAGTCAATTACCAAAAAACCTCTTCATTGCCTGGAGAAGCAAGAAGTGGTGGCAAAGCCACCAAGAAAGGCCCAGTGTGGAACTGGGCTTACTGGGTTTTCAACAAGTGGACTTAAACACAAAAGAGACCGAAGCACTTCACTGGCTGACAAACACAGGTGCTTTTCAAAATCATACCAAAGTATGGGTTCATGCAATAGGTGTTTGAAGAACCCCAAGAAAGATTCATTTCTTTTTCAATGGTCTCTCTCTCCCAAACACAAAGAACAAAGTTTCTCCCCACAGGTTACAAGACTCAATCCCCGGTCTCATTTTGCTGGCGTTAAACAATATGATTGTTAAGTGGTCAATAAAGCAGAGGGTGAAATCAATATAACAGCACCCATCTGCTCACATTAATCATATACAAACCGTAGACACTATAACAAATTAACACTGTCAATATCAATCAGGGCCTGTTAAGTGACACGTTTTGTTTTTATGCAGCTGTTCATTAAATAGCTAGTCTTCAGTTGTTGATTGATGTCATTCAAATGTGGATATCATTTAAACACGCAGTCGAGAAGGAGAATGCAGAAACTGTGACCTTGAACGGCAATACGCAGTATCCACTGCATGTTGCATTATTAAAGTAGGGTCTTTTGACTTTGGAGCTGTCATATTTTTGAACAGGACTGGCATCCTGTCCAGTGTGTCCCCTGTCTTGTGATGTGTGATTCCTGGGATTGACTCCAGGTTTTCTGCAAAGTATGCAGATAAGCGTTTTTGGAAAACAGATGGCTGTAAACTTTGTTTAAATATGAATTCTATAATGGTTATGTCACGTTATCTCATATGCACCAGAACAGGCAGCAAGATGACTTATTTGCCAAATATAGACCTCAATCACACCTCTGACTGATGCCATTAAACAAAAGCCAGAACAGAGGTATTGAATTACCCATCCTCTGCAAAGAGCGCAACAGAATTCAAAAGCATCAGTCGCCCTGCTGGGGCAGAATTCCCCAGGTGCTACAGAACACAATTTAATTAGCACCTTATTACAGGCTACAACACCTACCCAGTCAATGAACACGACTACCCTGCAAAGCAACTGAGAGCTGGGAAAATTATCACACGAAGACACACTCCTGTGCTATTGTGCATCAAGACTGCCCTGACAACCGTGAAAAACGGTTTGTGTTAAATCCAGGGGTGGAGCTGGAGAGGAGTCGCTAGTCTTGTGAGATACGATTTTGAGAGTAGGCATGGGTTTGAAGACATATTACGGGATATATTATGTGTCTCAGAAAGCCAACAGAGCACTGTTATACCACTTTGGGTACATGGGTCACCTGGGACAACTCGTTATGTCTCATGTTTATCTTATGTACCTGCTGATATATATTTATATTTCTCATCAATTCATCTCTCTTTTTTTCCTCCCTCTGCTGGGTATCAAAAAGTCAAGTGCATGTTTGTGGAATTGGAGGCAAACAGCGAGGCTGATGAGAGCCAATCGATATGAATGCACATCGAGTCATTGTTTCACACTGCACAGTCCTACAAGAGCCACAGAGCTCCTGCATCTGTTGGTCTGTCAGCCACGTCCCATCAGTTAAAACATACTTTTACTTTACTTTCGGAATGATCATAGTGATGCCTGTTAAATGATATTTTTTCAGTAAACATTGTCAAACAGAAAAAATATGTTAGAAAGGCAGCTCTCTGAAAGGAATTAGTACTTGCTAAAGAGAGGACAAGGCAAACATTTTCTTGTTTGCTTGACATATTTAAAAGCCATGTGCAATTTCTCTGCTTATGAAGCACACAAAACTAAAACTGTCAAATTTATATAAAAATTGCTGACTTTATATACAAAAAAAATTATTTGCTTTAAAAACAGGTACACAGACAGCACATGAGAGATGTCAAGCCTTTCATCTGGAGACCTGCATTTATCTAAGAGAAGTGCAACTGATTATAGGCTACTGCCTCTGCAAGACGCTGGAAACGTCTCGTGAAAGTTAGAACCTCTTACAAGCCTAACATTGACGACACAATTAGACGATTAGAGAAGTGCTTCATGGCTGTGAGGAATAATCCTTCACACCGGTAATCGTGGATGAAGACAGGGCTCTGATGTCCATCGATGCATTAGCACCCTCATGAATTTTTACTAGAACTGAAAAAACCATACACATATATGGATTTGCACAGGTAATCCAGTGTTGTCAACTTTGGTCATGCAGCTGGCAGGTATGAGATTTTCAATTCGAGAAAAGTCTACACACATGCACACACATTTACATGCATGTAACGGTTTTATCACCTTGGAAATAGTCTGTAGGGCTTGCAAACTACCTCAGCTTCGGATGTAGCCAATTTTAGGTTTATAATGTAATAATACAGATTTGCCGTAAAATCCTTTGCGTGAGCGAGAGTCTAAAAGCATGAGCGTCACGCCAGATGCGTGAGAGTTGGCAACCCTGGTACCTCACGACTGTCCTATCCTCATAACCGATTGTCTCAGAGAGTCTTTAATGAGAAACTAGTTCCCCGTGTTAACGGCCTTACAAATAGATCCAGTTTTGCCGTGATCATATTTAAATGTTCACTCGACCCGTCAGGATCGGTAACGATAGCGTGCGCGGTTTTCTCATGTCTCTGCACATTACACTGCTACGGTAAAAAGCAGACTGCCTTCCTGCCACTGACCTCCATTAGTGTTTATCTCCTCAAACTGCACACTCCATATAATGTTTTAATTAGCGCAGACGGCTCTTTCGTAATATTTAATTAAAGTCAATGGATGCGTAATTTCACGAATAAGCAATGACACATTGCGGAATAGCAAAGCTGTCATGCACGTAATGACCGCAATAAGCGCTTCTGATTCTGTGCGCAAGCCGGATACAGATTTGCCTCGAATTTTCCTCGGGCATTTAAGAAATCATACTTGTTGTTCCGCTGTGTCATTACAATCAGACTGTCTGCCTCGTCCCACAGATGAACCGTAAAATAAAGGAGGCTTTTTTAAAGAACGGAACGAGTGAAAGCAAAAAATAAAAAAAATAACTGAAGCATACAAAATATCACTCATCAAATTCTCAAATATGTCGGTGCGTAAAATATATATATACGTCACTAAAAAAAGGTAAAATAAAGCATTTAAACAGTTTTTTAAAAAGAGGTTGGATCAGATGTAATTTAAACCAACCAAGAGAAAAGTACAAGAAAATTAAACTTTCCTTTGCAATTTTACAATATATACATCGTGTGTGTGTGTGTGTGTGTTTGCGCGTTTGGTGCCCACAATGTGATAAACACCTGTTTTTTTAACTCAATTTTATAAAAATCTATGGCAGCAAATCATAAAACTAAAAATGCCAAAACTCTTGCATTTTGTTTGGTTACTTATGGTTAATTAAGGTTAGGGCTGGGTGGGGGTTAAGGTTGTCATTGCTGGGATTAAGGTTTTGCCCATAGAAATGAATGTTCGGTCCCCAGAAACATGGGCATGGCCGCCATTAAATCTGAGGGGGACATGTCCCTGCCACATTTCTAAATTTTTCGTTTGGAGCCCCCCACATTTAACATAAAATGTTAGTTTAATGTCAATGTGTCCCCCCCCCCCCCCCCCCCCCCCACATTCAAAATGCTTCTGACACCCCTGCCCAGAAAAAGGTGAGTGTGTGTGTGTGTGTGTGTGTGTGCGCATTGAATGAATGAGCGGTCCCCATAAGGATATGTTTACCCTACATGTGCGTGTGTGTGTGTGTGTGTGTGTGTGCACGCATATGTGTGTGTGTGTGTGTACTAACACATTTGTATAAGGGGTATATATACTTTCCCCAAGTTGTGCTAGTTTACTGCCACAGTCCAAAAACTGGTATGTTACAGGGTTACCAATTGCAATGGACTGGCATTCAGTCCAAAGTATCCCCTGTCCTGTGCTCAGAATAGCCTCCAGGCATATCCTTAGGCAGGTGGAAGGTCCATCCATCCATCCATCCATCCATCCATTCTCTATACCCACTTGTCCTATGTGGGATTGCTGGTTTCCTGCGCCTATCCCTGAAACCACAGATACAAGGCAGGGAATAACCCATCACAGCCACAATCGCAGAACACGCGCACCAGGACTTTGGGGGCGACATGGAGAGGACATGCAAACGTGCCAGTCGCTGCACCACCACGCTGTGCCCCTCCAAGTGGAAGATGAATAAACTAAAAAGCTTTTTTGCTATTATGGTTCAAACGTATGAGTACTCAGAGAAGACCTGGAATGATAGTCGGATGTTGATTCATTGCCATTGGCTTCAGCGTACAAATAACGATTTTGCATCACAGACCAGGTCTTGCTTTGTGAGATACTTTGCCTTTTTCGTGGTCCATTACATTCAGGTTTATGAGAATTACTCCTATTGTGGGAGTAAAGAATGTATATGTATATATGCTTTAATTAAAAGTAACAGCAGTGAAGGATATCAGAAATGTGTACATTGTGTGTACGACCCCGTTTAGGGATTGTGTATGAATCCTGTCAAAGGTGGCTGAAAGAAATGTATTCTGCTACTAATGAGTTTCTTGTAGTCTGTGAATTGTAATATGAAATGTACATTTTATGTTAACTTGTTTTTGTGTAAAGGAGTTGCCTTAGCCTAATCTGAAACAACAACAAGGTCGTGAGAAACTCGAAATGTTACCTTCTCAGGGGAGGAGTGTCCGGGTGTTTTGTAACTAGCCAATAGAAACTAGGCAAAACAACCAGGGAGGATCCTGGAGATGCACCCACCTGGAGAGAGCAGAAAAAAGCCTTTTGTTGTAAGAGACAGAGAACCCTTCTCTTTTTTGGAGATGCTTGATGACTTTGCTGGAAAGTGCTCCCTAGCAACTGCAGTATCGATTAATAATGAAGCTGAACCTCTCACTGGTTTAAACATCATTTCTTATAACTTCCACACCAGTCAGATGTAAATCTCAACCATGATAATCCATATAGTACAGGCAGCATGAGTTCCAGAATGTTCCGCAGTGGGAAGCGTCATCGCTTCAAGAAGCTGTGCTGCCTGCATTAATCGGCCCCCACTTTGCTTGAAATGTTGTGAATAGTTTTACCATCCAGGTCAGCATTTTTCCCACTGGCACTGTCCCAGTGCCACCCCCCAAGCTTTGTTTATTATTATTGCATGCCTCCTTGCCACATTTATTTTTCAGGGTGCTTCTACCCCCCCCACTGACCTTGTACCCTGCACGGCAAGTGAGGACGGAGGAGTATTGCCAAAGACCAACAGGTTAATGTCACTCTCGTTAAAAATTTAATTAAGCCAGAAAAGGCTCTGGGTTGTTCCGTCTGCCCAGGGTGAGACATGCTGGGAAACAGTGTCATTTAATATGGGGGAAAACAAACAAGTAACCGTGCTTAAAATTAGCTTTGAGATGTAATAAAACATGGCCCCGCTCCTGCTGCTGCCCTGTCGACGTGTGAGCTCACAGGCAGGCCCAGGGTTCGGAGGCTGGCTCTCTCTGTGAGGCCTCATCATGAGAGCAGGCGTCGTGTCAGACTCTTCATTTGTCATAAGCAATTGTCCCTCCTTGACCCCTCAAAATACTCCCAATGCAACATTTTTGAACATCCACTAAAAATTTCAAGGTAGCTTTGGTGAGTTTGTTCCTGTTGAAGATGCCTTCATAGGTACCTTACAGTTTTTGTCTTACTCAGGCAAGAACATAGTGAAGATATGGAGAGTTTAACTGGTTCTGTCTTTTACATGAGAATATTTGATTAACTTCCTTTTTAAATAACCTTACGATGTGAGGGAGCTCATGTCACACCGTGGCAGCTGGTGTTTTTGTTAATTCATGTGCTCCATGAAATTTTCTGATCTGGACACCAACCCCCGCACTGCATGTTTCATGATTCTGTTGTCGACATGATTACCTTTTTCCAAACAGCACAGAAGTCCCCCCCCCCCCTGTTTTGTGGCCCTAGTTTCTAATCCTCATTTCTCCAGAAATCCTTGATGTCAAGAAAGGGTATTTATAGTGGGGTGGATGATGGCAACAATATGTCACTTGAACTGTATCAGCTGTGATTAACCAACCAGGAAAGACACAGGAACACAGGCATCCACCATCCGCGCTTATCCAGTCACTACAGGGTCACAGGGAGTCTAGAGACTATCCTGGGAAGCACGAGGTACAAGGCAGGGGACACCCTGCACAGGATGCCAGACCAATACCAGAGACAGACTGTGGGCGATCCAGAGACTGCACTTTGCCTAATCGCCGTGGAAACCTACATATACAAACATAGGCAGAGCCATAGGAAGTAATTCCTCCAATACAGACACTCTGGATGTGTGAGGCTTAAGTACTTCCCACTGAGCCACCATGCTTCTCCTAATCATATAATTTACTTAAAACCAAACAATTCATAATATAATGAAACCAAACAACTCATTGGAATGTCACAATTCAGAGGAATACCCCACAGTTAACATATTGCCGGATAGATTCACCTCTCTCACAGATTCAGGCTTGCTTGCTGAGGCAAACTGACAGTGTAATTGTCTCAGCCCCCTGGTTGACTTATGGGCATTACTCAGACACTGCAGAGTTGTGTGTTCTATTGATCTGCACAAGCTACACTAATTGTCAAAAAAAGAAACTTAAACTTGTCAAATAAAAGACAGCAAGTTGTATGTAGCAAGGAACAAGCACAGCAGGCAAGAGGCAACCATCGGAAATATGCCGTACAACGATCTGCAGTGACGCCACATTGCATCATGGGTAATCCATCTCAATGCTCTTCACTTCAAAGACAAAGCATGAGTCATCAGGTGTCCATTTGACTTACATTTTACAATTCACAGACAAAATTTTTACAATGAAAACTTTAATAAGCTATTATGCATTCTTATGAATATCAACTGAAGAATCTAGATGCAGGTATAATTGTCAATTGTCAAGCTGTGTTTACAAATTAGAAGAGCTAATAACACGGGCTTTGGGGGAGTCTGCAATCACTGTCTTCACAAAAACAGATTAAAACCAAGATTCCAGTTATCGAGCTCATTACCACAAGTAGTGGAAGTAGACAAGGAAATATCTTACTACCTGACGCAACGCAATGCTAATGTACGTGACTGAAGTGGAGATGAATCACAGTCTCCTCCAGAGTTGCATGCATTGACTGCAATGATCCCAGCCTATCTTTCCTTTAAATTATTTCTGATTATCTGAGCATTATTGTCGTAATAGGAAATAGCAGGAGTTGTAGATAAAGCCACATCTGGAGGTCCTTGTATTACAGTGTTGCCAGCCACGCGTGATGTCAGCAAAGCATCCTCTCTGGCAACAGCTGAATATGAGACCCAGATGCCTCTGCTAAAGGCATCAAAGGTACGAATACCCCAAGGCCACTATGGCCCATACAATGTCAAACAATAAAGTTTTACATCATTCATGATGGATGAGGGAATAGGTTCTGCTATTTTGTTTATCTCTAAATTAAAATCAAGGTTATACTTGCAGCTGCTAATTCCTCATAATTCCACCATAATTCACCATTCTCACTTCTGTCGGCCAATTACAGTGATTGAGAATGACAGGTCGGGCTTATTTACTGCGATTCTGTGATTGCGTTCTCTTTCACCTTGGGACCACCCCTCATGATTGATCCTGTCCATCTTTTATCTATTGTGGATAATTAAATGGTGGGTTTGGTCAAATACAGCTGCTCTTGTGGGAGCAATTGAGTGCAGATACCCTTGATCATATGAACTTGTTAAAATGCACTCAAGTTGGACCAATCCATTTTTTTTTTTAATGAAGGGGTTGTTTGATCCTGGCTTGTAAAGGTACTTTATTCCTAAGGGCAGAAGACAATATCAGCTTTGCCTAGTCGATTGCGTATTGTAAAAGGTGTAATTTATCAGCTGCTGTCGGGAAAAAGAATGAGGAGGAAGCTGACATTACGTGCACCAGCTATCGAAAGACATGAAAAACGAGAAATTGTCATTCTTCAAATGAGAGTCTGCTGTCTGTTATTATTTATCCAACTGGCCGTCTTTTGTCAGCCGTACACTTCTCATTTGCTCAATTTTAGGAATTTGATAAAGGAATAGTAAGTTTAATAAGTTTATATAATAATAAGTTTACATAAATAAGTTTTGAATAACTTTCATGATGGTTGTTGTGGCTCATTATTTAGCATTGCGACGTCGTTCATCTGGGGTTGTGGGCTCAAATCCCAAGCATGATTCTCTATTTGCTTATTCTACTGATATTTGTATGGGTTTCCTCCAGGTACTCCTGGTTCCTGTGGTGATTCGGTGTGTCTAAATTGCACATAGTGTGGGAGTTCTTCCCTGTGCCTCCATGTACTCTAGGATCACTCTGACCCTGTACTGAATAAGCGGGTAGAAGTATGGATGCATAAGAATGGTTCATCACAATGAGGTCTGAGCCTTAGTCACAGCCCATTTCAATTATTATAAAAGATAAATGCCCTGGAATTTTTAAAAATGGCACCCAGAGTAGAAAAAAAAATCATCCTGGATAAATAAAGCTCAGCATGTGATTTAAATGTAAAATTCTCAGTGGGTCTGCAGTGTGAACAAAAAGCAGGGTGCCTGAGAAACTTAAGCGACTTCCTCTATGCAGTAAATGACAGGTTTCATTACAGTTCGGTCCCTGTTTTTGCCTTGTGGGAACTGAGTACATCAAATGAAACGGCAGGTTTAAAACACAACATGCCTGTTAATCCACCTGAGCCCTGTTCTGTGTCATTAGCAAGGCGGCGTGTGATCACTTTGAGGGGAATAGGCAGGTGAACCTCAGGCAAGGAAACGTTTTTTTTTTTTACGCTTCGTGTTTCATTTTTGCAAAGCATGCAGTCAGTCAGGGGGAAAATAAATATATAACAATGCCACTCAGTTCTGAGCTACGATGGAAAAATCCATTGAATTGTCAACAGCTTGAGTGAAAAAATAACAGGTAATAATAATAGTGCTGATTTATCGAATTTGCAGATTTTGTTACAATAGTGACATAACAAAACTTCTGTATTTTAGAATAAAGAAAAAAGTTAATTACTGGTAACTGTGGGAAAGGGATCATGTGTGTCACTGGAGGAAGAATCAGGTGACCATGGCTATTGGTGATATTCACTCCACTTTCATGAGTTCAGGAGTTAAAAGATATGAACTGATATCTGTTTCCTGCTGCCCCCCCCCTCCTCCACACACACACACATACACTCACACTTGTATTTAATGGGAATTGTACTCTGAAGCAAATTAAGCTATGAAAAGAAAAGGCTTTTTAGCAGGTTTGTAAACCTGCATTGTAAACTAGTGAGTAAGCGACAGCTTTTGATGAAATATCACATTGAGCCACTTCGTTGTGCTAAATGTTCTTTCATCACTGACAGCGGTCTGGCGGCGGAGATCTGATGCAAAGCTGAGGGATCTGCACGTGTTACTTTGCCCAGTGTGATGCCTACGTTCCAACCCGCTCACACCCAGCGGTTCCTCCTCATTCCATTGGGGGAACTGGCCAGTTCCAGGCCGGTGCAGGCACAAAGGAGCAACGAGCGAATCATTAAATTCCCTTGTATAAAAAAAAAAAGTGGGAAACCACTGCAATACGTGTTACCGCGTCTCCCCTGCACTGCTCTGGCAGACGCACCGGCTTCTCCAGCTGTCGTGCAGTGGGCGCTTAAGCCCCGTAAAGCTGGTTATTTTTCATTCTCTCTCTCGCGCCGCAGCCTTCCTGTGAGCCCTTG